GAGTCTGCTTCTCCCTCTGACCCTCCTCCCTCTCATGCTCTCTGTCTCTCATTCTCTCTCTCTCAAATAAATAAAATCTTTAAAAAAAAAAAAAAGAAGAAGAGAGACCTCAGAGTTCATTTATCTCCCATCAAATCAGGAACACCTTTTAGAACATCCCTGAAAGGGGGTACCCAACTGAGACTTAACGTTTCTAGTTACTGGGGATTTATTATCTAGAAGGGATCCCATTCCACTGTTGGATGACTCAAGTCTTTACAAATATTTGTTACTAAACATTCTGTCATTTACTGAGTGTTTAACATGCACGAGGAGATATATATATTCATACATAAAAAACACTGAGCTGGGGGCGACTGACCGACTGAAGTAAAAATTGTCTAAAACCAAAAACCGTTATGTTACAAGGAAAAGCATTTGTTATTCCCCATAAAATGAGAAACAAAAATGTTTTAAAATAAATGTCAATATACAATATGTATTAAAAATCCTATCGTGGGTGCCTGGGTGGCTCAGTCATTAAACGTCTGCCTTTGGTTCGGGGTCATGATGCCGGGGTCCTGGGATCGAGTCCCGCGTTGGGCTCCCTGCTCCTCAGAAACAGGGAGCCTGTTTCTCCCTCTGCCTCTGTCTGCCGCTCCCCTCTGCTTGTGTTCTCTCTGTCAAACAAATAAATAAAATCGTTAAAAAAAAAAAATCCTATCATAAGGAAAAAAAATCCTATCATAAGAAATAGGGTATGACTATATGGAAAGAAGAGAGGGATGGGTAAAACAGGTGAAGGGGAGAGGTAGGGGGGAAAAGATGGTGGAGGAGTAGGGAACCCTATTCCAACTAGTCCCCAGAATTGAGCTGGATATCTACCAGACCACTCTGAGCACCCACGAAATCAGCCTGGGATGTAAGAAGATCTGGATCTCTACAAACAGAATATTGCAGACAGTTGGTTTCGAGACTAATAAAACAATTTCTAAGACTTAAAAAAAAAACAGGTGAAGGGGATTAAGAGTATGTTTATTGTGATTAGCACTGAGTAATGTATAGATTGTTAAATCATTATATTGTACACCTGGAACTAATAATAACAATTGAACTAAAAAAAATCTAAAATAATAGCAATAAAAAAAACCAACAAAAATTTATTTGGAAATTAAAACTAGAGGGGCGCCTGGGTGGTTCAGTCAGTTAAGCATCTGACTCTCAATTTCGGTGGCTCAGGTCATGATCTCAGGGTCCTAAGATTTAGCCCTGCGTAGGGCTCCATACTCAGCACAGAGTCCGTTTGAGATCTCTCTCCCCTCTGCGCCTCCCCCTGCTCTCTTCCTCTCTCTCCTTCAAATAAATAAATAATTTAGAAATACTATTTTTAGATGATTGTATACCTAGAAACCCCAAAAGAATAAAGAATTAGAGATAACAAAGGATTTCCATTAAATACAAACAGAAGAGGGTTGGAGAAAGAAACCTGGAAAACAGGAACATTTAAGGGATAGAAGGAGGAAGAGGAGTCCAAAAGAAGCCTGAGAGGGAAGAGCTGAAGAGACAGAGGATAATCATTGTAGAGTAATGTTCTTGGAGCCAAGAGAAAGGAATGGTCCAGTCAGATCTGGATTGGAGCATCCATTGAGCCTGGTAATCAGAATTCAATAAACCTAATAAGACAGAGTAAAGAAATACTATTTAATAAATCTTACATATGATATTCACAAAGTAGATGCTCATTAAGCAGCATCTTTGAGTAGCTTTGCTCAGAGTGAATCTGAGGACCAGCAGAATTGGCTTCATCTGGTAACTTGTTGGAAGTGCAGGATCACAGCTCCCATCCTCAGGGTCCTATTGAATCAAGTGTTACATATGCACGCTAAAGTTTCCAAAGCACTTCTTTATAGGTATTTAACAACATCCCCTCTTGGCTTTCTATAGCTGACTTTTTCAAATGAATGATCTATGCAGGCTGTTTCATTTTTTAACTCCTTAATGAAAATGATCTGGTTTCAATTCTACCGGAATGGAAGTTTATTCAACAAATATTTGTTGAGTTCCTATGTTCCAGACACTGTTCTAGACATTAGGATACATCAATGAATGAACAGGACAGAAATCCCTGCCCATTCTAACTAGTTCCTCATAAGATCACCAGGTAATAAATGATAAGTTCCATGAAGACTGATTTTACCTCCTCCCATTTTCCCCCAAATTATCCTTCTAGCAGCCCAGAGCCATGTGATAATAGCTGTACAAAACCAAAAACAAGCAAAACCTTTTTTGTCTAAAGACAAATATTCCCAGGTTGAAAAACCAAGCTTCACTGGTAATGAAGCCATTATTCTTCTCATTCCTTTTATCCCTGCCCTGAGTATCCCTGCTATAGGAATACCCCACTAGGGGCGCCTGGGTGGCTCAGTTGGTTAAGCGACTGCCTTCAGCTCAGGTCATGATCCCAGGGTCCTAGGATCGAGTCCCACATCGGGCTCCCGGCTCAGCAGGGAGCCTGCTTCTCTCTCTGACCCTCTCCCCTCTCATGCTGTTTCTCTCCTGCTCACTCTCTAATAAATAAATAAATAAATAATCTTTAAAAAAAAAAAAAAGGAATACCCCACTATTCCAAAGGAAGAGATTGAAGCTCTATGCCAGATAATAATGAGCATTCTTCAGGAACATTTTGCAAGTGACATTACGACTTAGATATTGTTGTGATATAACAAAATTAAAATTTTTTTCACATATAGTTTGTATTGAGCTTTTATTTTAGAGCATAGTTTCCCCCTTTGATCTCCAGTTATTACTTACATCTTCAAATACCATACTGGAACTCAAACTAATGTGTTGCCACTTGGAAACAGAAAAATTAATATTTGTTTTATTATAACATAAGGTATATAAAAAATAATTCAAGAAGGAAAGAAAAAAACTTATAACAACAGTACAGCTTCTACCTACTGTATTACTGTAATAACTAACTTTTATTTTTTTAAAGTTCAACATGGATTATTTGTTATGAATCTACATTCATTTTGCTTTATTATAATTTATCTATATATTGTAATTGTGTCTTAAATTTAATATGAAAGTTTTAAATTTTTAAAAAACGTATTTATTATACTTTCAAAGGTTTAAAACCTCAGAGAATCAGTAGGTCTCAATCCACCTCATTTCTTGAGACTTTGTACTATACTAGTTGGCCTAATGTTTCCAAAGGGATTCATTTCTTTTTTCAACAAAAGTTTTCATGTTCTTTATGTCCCAGCCATGATGTTCAGCTTTGAGGATAGAAAAACTGTTCAGGGGGCGCCTGGGTGGCTCAGTCATTAAGCGTCTGCCTTCAGCTCAGGTCATGATCCCAGGGTCCTGGGATCGAGCCCCGCAT